TTTTATGAGATTTGTTTTGACAAAATCAAAGACGAACACTGAAGACTGTTTCTATTAACATTTAAAATGTGTATTTAATGTTTTTTTTGGTAAAATATTCTTTTTAAGTGTGATATATAAATATTAAAAATACTTAAAATATTTTATAACATCTATAAAAGCATCTAAAATATTCTATATTATTCACAAATAATGTTTGAAGCTACCTAAATTTTTCTAAACTACCCGTAAGGAAAATATGTCTAAAAATTCTTCATTTAACCTCCATATATGTATATATATAGAGAGAGCAAATTTGTAAAAAAAATTATACAAATAATATTTAAAAGTGTCTAAAATATTAGTAATTAGACAGATGAAATTTAGATTTTTAAAAAATCTATATAGATAATGGATTTATAGTAGTAATTAGACTTTTATTTATTTACCTTTAAAGTTGTTACGATAGATGAGGGATGTGATTTTTTTGACTTGGAGATGGAATTTTATAAGTTGGGTTATGAAATTTTCTTAAACTCATCCATATCTATGCGATGATTCTTTTAAGCTGTGTATATAGATTTAAAATTGTAAAAAAAAAAAAAAAACTTTCATAAATCATTTGATTTGGTATTTTTGGAGAGCTTCATTAATTTAAAAGTGTATAATAAATAAATAAAAAATACAACTGAAAAAGGTACAACCAATTGTGTGGAGAATTAAACTAAATTCAATTTTGTAAGATGCATTAAATGTTGATTAGATTTTATATGTAAAATAAAATAAAAAATAACTGGAATAGTTTTACGTGTTGCAATATTTTATATTTAAAAAAAAATAAATATCTTCTTTTACGTATTGCATACCAACATTTTAGGAACTACATGAATATTCCTAAATTAATATTGCATACCCAATATTTTAGGAACTAATTAAATGCTAATTTGATTTGCATACCAAAAATATTAGATGCATTAATTAAATGCTTGATAAAAATAGCAAATCATTAATTAGGGTTGACTATTCTACATACTACATTTAGTAAATAGTATAGCTTTTAATATAAGTATAGATAATATGGACCACCAACATAATATTATTGCACTCACTTTTCTTAGCCAATTTACAATTGAGACTCAAATAATAGTTACCCAAATTATTTTCCCATATTTAAAATATAATATCCATTAATTAATTTAATTACTGATAATCAAGAATTAATTAATTTATTATTATTTCACTGAAGTTAGCGCTCGTTCATCACATTTAGCTTCACAGGATAAACATCTTCCTTAAGCTTCTTATTATGCCGTAATTTAATCCACCTGCATAGTTTAGCATAATAATCTTTCATAAACTCACTCCAAGGACATCATCGTTGGCAGCCATATATATTCCAAAAGGCAGGGTCTCTAGCTATAACTACATTTCAACGCTTTTTTTTTTTTTTTTTCCTTTTCGTCCCGTCCTATACATTTTATAAATGTAAAATTGCATTAATACACTATTCGTGATTCTGATATATAATTAAAATTATAGGAAAATATTACAATCCCGTTACGGAATCATTCCGTTGGGATTTGTAACCGTCAGATCATCATGTAACCATCGTGGATAATTGATGTAACACCCCGAGTTTTATTAATAAAGGAATTACTAGCTTTTAATATTAAGCTAGCCTTTGTTAATAAATAATTATGTTCATGTTTAAGTTCAAGTGATTCAGCCAGTTATATTCCAAGTTCGACTATTAGTCGATATGTTATTCGATTTGATAATCGAATAAGTTTTCAGATTTTAATTCCGATTCATTAAATTATTAAATGAGTTTGGAATTAATAAGTCAAGTTGATGAATTATTCGAAATATTAATGTTCGGATTAATCGTCTAAGTCCAGCATATTCGAATTAACTTTCGAATGTCATGTTCATGTTCGGAATAATATTCCGATAGTTAATCCAGTTAAAGTTCTTCACGTCAAGTCCGGTATACCTATACTGTGACGCGTTCACATTGGTACACCGTTCATTGTTAATTAAGTAATAGTCATTAAGCCTTGCTTAATTAACTTAATTCATGTTTAACTAATTAATCATGATTATCTTAAGATTAATCATGATTAGTTAAATATTAATGATGATTAATTGAATATTAATCATGTTTATGGATAATCATGATTAATTAGTATTAATTGTACTTAATTAATATCATGATCATGCTTAATTCACTAATGTCTAAATCATGTTCAAATTATCCCTAATTGCCGTGAGCAATTATTTGGGAAAGTTTCATGTATTACTCATCAATTACTTAAGCTTAAGCCAATTGCCGTCCATTGCTAAATTATGTGTTAGCTAATGTCATGGTTATACTTAAGCAATTCATGTCTTAGTCCATTGTAATTGCCGTGAAGTTAGCTAAGGAGAAACAAATTATGTAAGTTGATATAACTCACCTATGTGCTTCACCTATGTGCATAATTGTTTTGTAACGCCTTAATAGCCATCAAGTGGTGACTAAACTAATTCTTGGGGCACCACCTAGCGGATGACTAGACAAGTCTTGCCACCAAGCTCTACATTAAGATGCCATGTGTATTTCAATGCCACCTCATGCTTAATATGTTCCTCACGTCAATTATAAGTGTATGGCTGAGGGGTGAATCTATGGAGCTTGCAAAATCAGAGTTAAGCGAAGGCTTAGGAGTAATAACCAAAAGCTTAACAATAAGGAGAATATAACTTACGTACTAGCTATTGCCGGGGACATCATATGCACTACCGAGAGGAAAGCAAGCAAGCATAAGCCAATTATAGTGTTTTCACCGTATAATCGAAGAGGTAATTTCATGATTAGTATATTTTGGTGTTAATATGATCAATTTACGTATTCATGTTCAGCTCATGTAAATCGAATCATATAAAGTTGAGTTCTTCGGTTTTGTG